GATTCATTGATATAATTTATGTTATGCTAACAAAATCAACTTGGGTCAATCTAAAACGCTTTACGCTTAAGCTGTAGAGGTTGTATCAGGGTGAAATTGCCTCTGTATATGTTGTCGAGTACTCATTTACGTTCGATTCTTACAAGTTCTAACATCAACGATTTCAAGTTCATGTTATTCCATCGCAGTATCTTCACATCGATACATATGATTATTGAAATAAAAATTCAATAGATTTCTGTGATTTATATTCAAAGCTTTTCATTTGAATATAACAAACATAATTCTAAATAAACCAAACAAAAACAAAAAACATGAATTCAATTAGCAGGTAAAATGGAAGATCGCAACAAAAATTTCGTCAAATATAACATCAAGACACAAGTCAAACATATAATAAAAACTAACTGTGTATTATCATTCTCATCATTAAATAATGAAAGACGAAAATGAAAATTCACTTTTCCTTTCTTGAAAAAAAGAGGAAAGAGTTTTTTAAGAGTCTAGTAAAAAAAATAAGAAATGTAAAAGGTAATCTAAGATTTTGCTATTTGGTTCATACAATTTATGAAGTGAAAATAACTACGAAATAACCAAAATACTGTAACAAGTTGAGTGAGTTGTAAAACAAACTTTAGAGAAGAAAAGGAAATTCTATTTCAAATAAGAAAGTTCCCTGGGATAGTTGGGTTCAACAACTCAAAATTCATTTTATTTTTGCTCGTTCTCATAGGCTTCACATTATTAACAGATGATTTTTGGAGTACAAGTAGCTCAACGTGTCCTCGATGTAGTAGCCAAAGAATTTTCAAAAAAAATATGTGCTGGTTAAAGTATTAGCGAACGTGGCACAAATTGTATTGAGTTGAGCCGAATTACGCCAAGCTCCCGATTGTTCCAGCAAAAACTGCTAGGCTCATTTTCCTAATCAAATTAATACAGTGATTCCTTTATACATTGAATTACCGACAATGAGAAACATCTGTAATCTGTTTTTTTCATTGAAATTATTCACAAAAAAATCGATTGCTATGAAGTAACACTACAAAAAATACATAAAATTTCTATCACGATAATTAAGATGTTTTCTTTAGTAGACTTCAGTCGTGTTTGCCCACCTAGCTGGAAATCTGATTTCTATGATGATGACCATGAACAAAACCGATAATAAATCCAAAATAGACAGCTGAAATATATCCAACAATACACGTTACCAAGATTAAAACAAAACTATAACCTAATTCCAAGATGCTTTTTCCTTCACTGAAATTGCCGAGTACATTTTTAACATACAGTAAACCGCCGACCAGTATGAGAGTAGGTCCAGTTATTAAGAAAAGTTGTGGGAGCATATGAATCCAACGATTATCGATCAAAACACCAAGAAAGATTGAAGCAAGAATACCGAGTCCAGCCAAAACTACACCGGCTATAGTTAAAACTTGAGCAGCTTGAAAATTTTCCAATGTTGAACATCCCGAAAAACTCTCTAATTGAGGAATAAATGTTTCATTGCATCTTGTGAAGAGACTATAAGTAGATTTTAATACTGGAGGAACAGCTTTTATTACGATCCAAGTCGGAGTCGAGAGAGCCACAATACCTAAAATAATCGTGACAAGACCAAGACTAGTACCAACTAAAGATAAAATTGAAGCAGATTTCAGTCGTCCGAAGGTCATGAATCAATTACTCTTGAATATCTCGAAATATTTGCTTGCAAATTTGTTCCGTCAAAGTCAAATAGGACAGTAAACGAAATTCTTGAAGATTTTTATTTTATGAATTTCATGTGACGTTTGCTCTCTATCCATTGTAAATCAATCTATCTTATCAATAAAAATTTCTATTTTAATCGACTGTCTACTTGTTTCATGTAATAAACTTATTGCCGACAGCCCAGAATGAGCATTACGACAGTCGTAAACGATCATGTACAAGCGTATTATGGCCGTATATCGTCTTGCCGTATACGACCACTGTAAAAGATCGTATATACTATCGTATGTAATGCTGTTTATCATCGTATTACACGTAAACTTTTCGCATATCCTTCTCTTTACTCTCTAATAACACAAGAAGTAATATTTCGGGTGCCCAACTTGACTGAAGGTTTCAATTCTTTTACCTTCAGGTAGCTGCAATTATATATAAAAAAAATATGATTGTTGTACAAACCGTAGTACTCAATAATACTACGATTCGTACAATAATCATACTTTTTTAATATGTAATTAGAGCTATCTAAGGAAAAAAGAATTGGAATCCACCACCAAACTGGGCATCCTCATTGATTTAAATTAATACTTACCCTTTGTTTGATCGTTGTACATGGTCTAAAAACAAAAATAAAAATACAATTTTTTTTAAGACTATATCACTTACATCATCATGCAGAAAGAGTAAATACTTTTTTATGAAATTATTCAATAGTTTTTTGTTAGCATGATTTTTGTATAAAATATTTCTATGATTAGTTATGTAAAAATATATACGATAACTAATACATCATTTTTTATATAAAATCCAATATAGAAAAAAGTCACTTGTATTCATATGTTATGTTTTAAATATGCATGAAGTTCATTTGTTTAGATAAATATGATGACCTAGTAGTAGAAATAAAATGTTCCTACTTTTCGAAAACAGAAGGAAAACTATTCATTGAAACTGGACGGGGTACCAATAAAACTAAATCTCTATTGTTCACAACCAGATCAATAAATTTAAGTGTGCAGTCATAAACTGTATTTTTTTAAAACAGAGAATCGTTTTCTACGAATCAATCATGAAAAATCATGAGTTTAAATGTCAACGAATCGCTATTTAACACACTTATAACTTACTGTTTAGACGACAAGAAAGCGAATTCAATTTTTTTCCTCGAAATTCGTTCATTGCGATAAACAAGTATCTTGCACAACGTATCACCGCTTGAACATTGTCACATGAAAGATAGTTCTAATGGCAAAGCAGTGTCCCTCTAACTCACTGCCCCTCCACTCCATTTTCGGAGGTCCCGTCCTATCCTCAATATGATGCGTGATATTTTCTGAAGAGATATAGGATTATTGTATATCAAACCTAAAAGTATTAGAATTTTTCGGCAAAGTTCTGGAATTACCTTTTTTGCCGAGATCCTTCGTGGGATTCAGGGAAAATTCTATCTTGAACATATTAAATTTTTATGGGAATGATTTGAACAGAAATGTTATTAATCATTTACCATTTTTAAACAAATGTATATTTAATATTCTTTCAATCAATCGTTTTTTTAATCAAAGGAATATTGAATCAAATGAAGATATTCAATATACCTTCAAGGATTTTAAAGATAATAAAATTATTTCTTGTGTAGATTATTTTCAAGAAAGAAATTATAATCAATGTCATATTTATACATATCCATATGATGAACATCTTTTGAACATCAATTTTTTCTTCAAATTCAAAAATCATGTCCATTAATGCAAAAATTAAGTTTAATTAATCTAAAACAATAAAATAAACAACTATTAAAAACAATCAAATCATGAAAATGAACATTTATCAATCATTAAATATCCTCATCTTATTGATTTCAATCTGATTAAAATTCATAAAGATTATCTTGAATAATTTTTCTTTGATACTAAAATGTCTTTACCAAATAGCATTTTTCTTCAAACAAATTATCAATTACTATAGAATGTCACACACAATTTTACAAGAAACGAAACATGAAACAATTGTGCAAAACTGAGAGCGATCTTTTTTGTTAACAAATCAGAATTTGCTGGATATTTAACAGATTATTTTGCTTTTACTACAATACCTTAACTGTTATCATTTCTTACTTAAATAAAAACATGAACAAAAGCTCATTCATTTTAATTAGTACCAACTTCACTGTTGTTATCATTAGAAAACCATCAACTCATCGCGTTGGACTTGTTTCATTGAGGAAGATAAATTATTTCAAAACACAAACATCAGAATTTACGTCAAAATGATCGTTTACTCAAAAAAACTCAAGACAAGACCACTAGGATTCAGAACAAAATAAAAAAAAGAAATGTTCCGAACTTTTTAAGATTCACATATTCAAACGCATCGTAAATTTTAGACTTCTTATTTCTAACTAATATTTTAATATTGAAATTAATAACACTAGAAAAACGCACAAAAAAATCTAACGATATGTCTTTAGAACGGTTCATGGTCATTCACTTCATGATTTGTTCACTTCTATTGTAGTTTGAACACATTGTCTTGTTTAATTAGCCTATTATACACAGGAATCAATATATATAAGAGTGTCACTTTGATGCTGAAAGATTTCGTCTAATAAATATAAAAATATTAATATTATCTGTATCTAGACATGTATGTCGTTCGATATCGTGTTATGTGTAATATATCAAAAAATAGCTGATTGACTTAGTAATTGATCACTTGTATGAACACTTTTTTTCTCTATTGATCATGTATATAAGACATTTTTCTTTTATAAAACGATACCTTTGAGTTTCTTTTCTTTAACAGGACAAATGGGATTTGGAACACAAAAAAATTTACCCCACAGATCTCTAGTACATACACTTACTTTTAATGTAAAGGTATTTAAATATCTGTCATGGTCATTGACCATGATATAGATTGAGTTGCTAATACGGTCTATATTGCGTTCTATTTTTACGACATGTCTTACATTCTTTAATGCATTTTTTTGTCTCTCTGTTTCTCTGTCCATGTGCTCGGTTCTTTCTCTGAAAACGAGCATCATTGGTATGTCGCTACATATCAGAGAGAGAGAGAAAGGATTTTGTTTTGAAGAATATAGAGATACAATGTTTTTTGGTCGAGTGTGATTCGAATTTTTGTTGTTTTGTTGATTTGGTTTTCCTCGTGAAGCTCAAAATAAAGTGTAAGAAATTCAACAGAGTAATGGATGCAATAATAACAACATCATTTAGCACGTTTATCAAGATGAAAATTATATAACTGTTCACAGTCATTCAAAGAGAATGCTTCGGTGTCCAATAAACAACTGTAAAAAGTCGTTAGAATAGACTATTACATTAAAAAATGACAAATTTGAAGATTTATTAAGAACTGATACAATAATTAACAAGCCGCAAATTCCCACAATCAAACAAACACGTATCGGAATATGACAACCAAGTATTGATTAAGTCGTCTTTTTCTATAAATTTTTGTGTAATAGTTCAAAAATGGAAGAAATATTAAATGGAATCTCTCAAAAATAAAATATTTCTTCTGATAATTTGAAAGGTCAAATTGGTTTGATTACTCTTCCAATAAAATTTTTTTTTTGTATATCACCAGATATAGTATTCTTCAAATTAAAAGAGTTAATCTCATGATTAAGTCTTTACAATGCTGAAAATAATAATGATCTGAAATAATTTATCACTTCGCCGATCAAATAGTAATAGATGGAAACAATCGAATTCAATCAAATTATACTATCATACGACACTCTAATTATATCAAGTCATTAAATTCTATTCAAACTTTGTTTAAATTTAGACACAATGTAATGATATAAAATTGATAGCTTTTCTTCTAATTCATTTTAAACTATGAAACTTATCAGATTCTGATATCACTATCAATCATCTCATCATTCTTTTATCTCAACATGACGCACATATATAAACATCATATTTGGATGTGTGAGGCTATATGTATGAATGTGTATGCGTTTGGTGTGAATGTGAGTGAAAAATAAAAAAATTTCCTTACCGTTGAATTCTCATTTGCACCCACACCAAAATAAGAAATAAAGAAATATTTTTCTTCGGATATGTATAAATAGATAAATAACTGATATAATAATATGATATATTGATCATAGCTGTTTCTCACCAACAGTAATCTTTCTGTATGAATTTGTGTTAACAAATGAAGATAAGACGTGAGAAGATTTCTCCAAAAAGTCTTGTTTACATACTTTTCGACGTTCACGTTTTCATTAGAAATATTTTTTAAACTTATTTATTTTCTTTATTTTAAAACTGTAAAGATTTGGCCTTTCTTTATCTATTTAGGTGAATATAGAGTAACACGCTAAGTGTAAATGTGGTGTGGATGGGTGAACGCTGAATGTGAAGATCTTGAAAATATGTTTCACCCTCTTTCATCACTCATGTTAGAGGAATAAAACGAATTAAGTTCTGTTTCAATGAAAAAGAAATTTTCCATTTTGTTCTTGTGTAATTGATAATTTCAATCACCATCTTATGTACTAGAGCACGAAACAAACTAAGCTCATGGCCCTTGTTGTTTTTCAGTACGATCTGATATCGTACGAGAATAGTGACGATAAGCAGAAAGAAAAAATTGTAATTATGCCTCTTTTGATAAGAGCTTTTGATCTTATCTACCGACTGTAATTAAAACAGAAAACAGCAGTGTTTTTCAAATCATCTAGCGATTGAATATACCAAATGTTGTGTCTATGGTTTTGTATCCTAGAATAGACCTCAGATATTCATGTAACATAAATATCCTTTATATAATTAGAGTAAAAGATCATTTAGTGTGAATTTATTCTGTTTATTCAAAAAGGATTTTTTCAAGCTTCAATTTCTTTTCGAGTTTTTTTTCAATTATAACTTCGCCAATTCCATCAATATTTTCAACAAGATAGAATATTTTATCAATTATCTACACCATA